AAAGGACAGCAACTTGTCTGTTCCCCTTCCCTGATTCCCCAGTGCTGTACCCCTCCCCCAATTCCCCAATAAAATCTTAAAAAAAAAAAAAAATCAAATTAGACCATCAAAAATAGTCTATATTTTAACTTGTGATATAGTGAGAGAACCCATTACAGACTACCAATAGATTTTAAAAGTCCCTTTAAAAAAATTTTTTTTAACCATTTAATGGTTGTCTTAACTGATTACTTTACTAAATAATTACTAACTGAATTTAGCAGTCAGTTAGAATCCAATTATTTGACTGAACCAATGACTTAGCAACTGGTTGGAAAGCACCAACTTAGTCAAAACAGTCCAATTAATTTTCTGGGAAGCCTCAATTTTAGAAGTGTAATGTTTAAAGCCAGAGTATTTTTATTTATAACTGTAATTGTTAAAGACTGTTTAATGACAATGTTTTATAAGACTTCTTTGTCATCAATATTATTTTAAGGACTTCTTAAAAAGCGAAGCTAAACATTTATTACTTTTTAGTTTCCATGTATAGGGACTTCAGTTCTATTTTTCTGTCTTCAAGACCACAATCAAAATTCAACTCTGTGAGGCCCTTCTTATAATTAAAATGCATCATCTTTTCTTCATTGCTGCTACAGAACACTTCTTATACAACTCTATTTAGCATTTATTTCATTTTGTCTTGTATAAAACCTATTTGTTTACAAATGTTTCTACTTCTCTTTAGGGATAAGGACTATGCATTATTCACCTTTTTATTCACCCAGCATTTAGCATACTGCTTTGCACATTCAATAAAAGCTTGCCGACAAATAAGTTAATATTTTTCTCAATGATCATATAAATTATATATACATCTTCCACCAAACCAACCTTGAACTCACACATATAACAACATAAGGAAATAAACTGTTGAAAACATTCCATTTTAGCAGGTTTGATCAGCCACATAAATTGGGAATTGGGAACCAAGATCGTTCATTCAACAACAAATAGGTACTATGTACCAGCCACTGTATATATAATGGTGAATAAGACAGATGTAGTGCTTGCCCTCACCGACCTCCCAACCCAGTGGGGCTACACACACACACACCAGGAGTGCCAAAAAAATGCATACACATTTTAAGAGATGCTATCTTAAAATGTGTATACAGGGCTGGCCGAGTGGCTCAGCTGTTTAAGAGTTGGCTTAAGAGCGTGAGCTCTGAGCAACAGGGCCGCCGGTTCGATTCCCACATGGGCCAGTGACACTGTGCCGAGCTGAACTGTTGCTGAGCTGCCAACAGGTGGCAGGATGGCTCAGCTGGTGTAACAAGATTGCCTGTTTGATGGTGGGAGACGCCCACCCACAACTAAGACTGAACTCAGCACCTTGAGCTGAGGTGCCGCCTGGACGACTCCCACATGGGATGGTGGCTACACCCACCCGTAACTAAGATTGAACACAGCACCTTGAGCTTAGAGGCCACGAGCTGCTGATGGGAAGCCAGATGGCGACTGGTGCCCTCCACAATGTAGACTGAAGAACAACAACTTGGCTGGTCTCCTCCCCAATTCTCCAACACTGTTCTCCTCCCCCAATTACCCAATAAAATCTTTAAAAAAAAAAGAAAATGTGTATACATTATTTTTGGCACCCTCTGTATATATAAAATGAAAACAACAGGTGGTACCGTTTCCCCAAAAATAAGACCTAACCAGAAAATAAGCCCTAGCATGATTTTCAGGGTGTTTGTAATATAAGCCTTACCCCAAAATAATCCCCAGTTAAGATAGTCAGCCAGACATAACTGTATTTGAATAAATGTAGATTATTGTACATGAATAAATGAATAAAATGCATCTTTTGGAGCAAAAATTAATGTAAGACCTGGTCTTATTTTCAGGGAAACACAGTAATAAGGAATTGGAGAGGGGGTGGAGGGCAGAGGGTTATTCATATAGGGTGGACAGAAAGCTTGACAAGTGAAATTTAAGCTGAGATTTGAACAAGAGTCAGTTGTGAGTCAAGGAGGGGACTAGCCAGCCAATTAAGGCCCTAAAAGTGTGTAGGGGTTGGGGAGGAATCATGTGCTGCACTGCCAGCTTCAAGGGAAGTTAAGACAGCATGCTCCCCAACCTCTTATTTTTCATTTATTTTGCTATTGTTTCTATCACTTCTTCTTTTCAGGTGGTTTAGATTTTCCTGGCTAAATTAAGTGATGGCATAAACTCTGGGGCATGTAAGACTGCCCATTTCCAAATGATCTTAATTTCCTTCCAGTCCCTATGACTGATAAATTCATCTCGAACTGACAATTACGTCCCAATTAGGAAAGAGTGTTTGTTATCAATTTTAATATTTTGATTTGGAGCCCTCCTGATTGCTAATCAACATGTTGTGTGATTACTTCAACAATTACAGAATATTGTTTTGTCATCAGAATAAACCTGCTTTTTTTTTTTTTTAAAGATTTTTATTGGGGAATTGGGGGAAGGGGAACAGACAAGTTGCTGTCCTTTTGTTCTTAAGTCTAGTTGTGAGGACATTGCTTTACTGGCCCAAGTTGGCACCATCATTGCGCTCTTCCCGGGCGAGGCAGATCAGTCGCCGGCTTCTGGATGGCCGTTCACTGCAGCTGCTGGCCGCTCACGCTGGCTGCTGGCTACACACGGTAGCCCATAGCTATCCACTGCCACAGGGGCTGCAGCCTAAGCCGTGGCCGGCGACTCACAGCAGCCTAGCTCCAGGTCGAGTCTGTTGTTTGGCATCTTAGCTGCGGAGGGCAGTATCACTGGCCCTCAGATGTGGGATCCGAACCGGGGCCCTCTGACATCTCAAGCCAGTTCTTAACCATCGCGCCACTCGGCCGGCCCAAACCTGCGCCACTCGGCCGGCCCAAACCTACTGCTTTCTGAACTCCAGGTTGTCCTAGAGCCTCGGCTGAGTAAAGGGGCCTAAAGCAGTCCTTAACCACTGGGATCCTCAGATCGCTGCTGGAGCTACAAGTTAAATTATGGGCGTGTGACATACTGGGGAAAGCCCTGGATTAGAAATTACAGGAAGCAGATTTCAGTCCCAGGTTTGCCATTTTGTCATGCAATTTTGGGTATACTGTTTACTTCCTTTAGGCTTAGTTTTCTTATTGGTAACGGAAAGACACAAAAGTTGCACTTATATAAATTCAACTACAGGTATGCGTGGTTGGCAAAAATCTAAGAGAAAAACATCAATTTAAATAGCACTCATTGAGCATATGCCCTGGAGCGAGCATGAGCTGGAAAGCACAAATCTGCTGTCCACCAGTGGGTCTCATTTCATAGATGCCTCTCATTCAGTCTTGCTCTGCTGTATGATTTGAGTGTTTAAAGATTTATATGTTTGTTTGTTGAGGTCAAGGTCCCTACACATAACCCACTTGCTTCATCTAGGGCTTAAATGAAGAAACAGTCATTCAGGTGATGTGATTTTCTCACATTTTCTTTATTCAAGTGGGATGCTGACTCCAGTGTTCCACTGGCATAGGGAATATGTAAGTCAAAGCTGATGGAGTCCTAGAAATGCATCATTGAGACCTTGACTTACCAATTTTTTAAATGCTATTGGTTATTAAGTAACATTTTATCAACCATGTCACTATCCCAACAGAGCTATGCCACTGTCTAGGGCACAGAGATATTCACAATGCGGAAAATGATGAAATGTACAAAGTTATTCATTGCACAATGCTTTTAATAAGGATCAGAATAAAACCTAAATGTCCAAAAGGAGAGTACTGATGAAATGATACATCATACAATGGAATATTATGTAGCCATAAAAAACAATGAGGCAACACCTTATATAATGATACAGAACAACTTCTAAGATCGGTGAAAAGATAAAGTACATAAACTATACACAGAATGTGCCATTTACATAAAAAAAATAAAATAAAATATAGTACTTATTTGCTTATATATGCATACATTTTTTTTTGAAAAATATACAACAAACTGTTAGCATTGGTTGCTTCCTTGGCAGGGAACTGGGTAGCTGAGGGGCAAGTGTGGAAAGAAGACTTTTACCTGCATTATCTTTTTGAATTTTGAATCATGTGACCGAATCCAAAAGGAAACACAAAATTTAGATCAGCAAGAAAGTAGTTTGAGATGAAACAGGATCACATTCTTAATGGAAACCATTTATAAAAAGTAGAATGGTCGAAGGTTAAATGCAAGTAGAATGTTGGGACCATAAGGGACCTTCCTTAAGAGATCCATCTATTCCAACTTCTCACCGTATAAATCTGAAAACCAAGGCCCTGAAAATTAAGTGACTGTGTTAAGGTCACACAGCAAAACAGTTAGGATTAGAAATCAGATTCGAATATCTACCTATGACTCTTTATTATATTGTCTTCTCATTTTACGTCGGCAAAACAGAACCAGGTTTAAACTACCTAATGGGTTGTCATGGTCTATCTAAACTTTAGAGTCTAAAGTCAAAGTAACCTCAAACTCTCGGACATCTGATTTCTTGAGTGGTTTCTACATGACTACACTTACAAATAGGCTGAGCATATTTCTATCATTGTACATATTGTAGTGTGATCCTTCTAACTCAAATGAATTCACTGAGAAAAAGAACTAAAATGTCTTGTTTTAGTTTTTAAAATATACAAATGACTAGCACAATTGTACTGCCAAAAATATTAATACAGATTTGCATTTTCCTTAACCAAAACGCAGGGGTTGGATGTGTTTTAGAAATAAGAATTTCTTGGAACTTTAAAAATGTTATAAGGTACACAAACCATTATGTAAAACCTCATATACCAGTGGCTAAAGGCAGCACCCCATAACCAAATATATTAATATTTCTTCAGCAAAATATATGGCAACTAGACTACATATAACTTTCTCATTAGTTGAGGTCATATTTTGCTACCAAATTAATTTTGTCTCCAAGCTTAAAAAAGTGTTTTCAAAGCCTTCTGAATATTGGAATTAGGTAAGAAATTATAGACTGTACTTACAAAAGTGCTTTTAGAAAACATGGTTAGTCACTTCAACTCTCATCTTTTTGATGAGACCAGAACCAACATGCAGCTTTTACATCCCAGTTTGGGCCAGACTTGTTTTGTGATTAAGTAAGGAATCCAACCTAGCAGAGGGGGCAAAACAACATTATGAGAGGAGAAAAATGAAAAAAGAAACTCTTAATTATACAACTCGCATTCCTATTGTAGCTGCTCATTAGCTATTAATAAAAGCTCCATTTGATGAGATCATGTTAGTTTTTAAAGGGAAGTAGGTAAATAAAACGGTCCCGCATTGCTCACAATGGGATTGGGGAGATGACCTTTAATCCTACTGGAAGGTAACTGCACTCTTTTTGGGACTAGCTAGCACATGGAAAGAGGCATTCCAAATATACTGGTAAGGAATAAGCAGAAATGTACACGATTTTCTCAACTTCGTACCATTCCTCTAATATCAACAAAAGGAAATTTTTCTAGTTAATCACTTCTGATGGACTGTTCTATTGTACATTAGTATCCTTCCTTTTACCTAACAGTCTTATATGATTTCCCCCCCACACACCTTTTACAAGGTGAAAAGCTCTAGAGTCAAATACAAGCACATACTAAAACCCTTTATTTTCTTTCCACATCCCAGGCTCCACCTCCATTTTGTTTCTGTTACTATTACATATTTTTTCCTGGCAAAAATTCAAATTTGCACTAAGACTATAAGTCAACTTTACAGACAACAATGTTTGATACAATTCAGTTTAGTGATGTTAGTTTTTCAATCTTAAAACTTCAGCTACTAACTGAATCAATTATTTTGTTCAATTTATGAAGTTAATATTCAGCAAATGTTCATTACAAAAAGTGTATTCCATTCCAAAACTGAAAATAGCAATGGTGAACAAGAAAAACCCTGGGTTTTGGCTACAATTTCAGAAGGAAATACTACGTTCTCGTATTTTCATCATAATTCATTAAAAAGAAACCACCTTACTAGCTAGATCTTATAACAAATATAGCAGAACATTAATAATTTAATACAACAAAAAAGGTAAACAAAAACTAACCAGGCTATTTTTCAGTCTGGAGAAAAACAAAACAAGAAACTCCCTGCTGGATTTCTTGACCATATGCATTCATTCGGAAGTACCAAAAGCTAAAATCCTTTTTACTGAAGAATTTCTTGGTACACGGGGCTTGTTTCTTCTATACCACCCTATCAAAATGATCAGCATTATTCCGCAATATAATAATTCCGTTCGAGACCACTACAAAAAAACCCCCCACAAAAATGCCAATGGCTACTCTGTAAAGAACCGGTCAGAAACTAGTTATTCTAGGACACAGAACCAATCGATTCAAAGGATCTCTGAGTAAGCTGCCCCCAAGATTTAGAATGCAGGCTCCGAAATAGCACACGCGGTCACAATGTCCCTTAAACCACATGACCTCCCTACGGGAAGCAGAGCCTTCAACTTATAAACTAAATGAGAACTACCCCTTTCTCTAAGTTAAAACAAGGCAGGGAAACTGAAGTCAGCACGGCAGGGAGAGATCGGCTACCGACTAGTAAGAACGGGTCATGGACAGCAGAGTCCCTGTGCCTTGGCTACTCCCCTTACCGTTAGAAGATCTGGGAGGGAGGAAAGGAGGAGAAACACCCCAGAATCCGGGCAGAAAAGCCCCTGGCCTCGAAGATGGGGTTTAGGGAGACAGGGAGGGGCAGCGCCGTGTGTGGTAACCCTTTGTGAACACGCACTGGGGCAGCTCGGCTCTCACCAAAGCTTTTGGAGGGAAGCCTCGCGCGGCCCACAGTCGCCGAGACAGAGGCGCCGCGGGGACGTGCCGGCCAAGAGCCTCCATTGCACCCTTCGCCGTCTCGGGAGCCCGTCCCTCGCCCGCCCACCAGGTCACTCAAGGGCGCGTCGGCTTCCGACTCGGGCTCGCGCGGGCCAGGCCGCAGCAAGACGCGCGCCAGTCTCTTCCCTCAGCATAATCCCTCCGCTGCCGGCCGCGCACTAGTTTTAATCACGCCCCACCCCTTGGCCGCTGGCGTCACCTACGCCACTCAAGCGCTTTCCAGCAGCTTCCAGAAGCGTCGCCTCCCCCAACCCAGCCACTCACAGATGGCGGGCTCTGCAGCTACCGGCCCCGCCCCCAGCCGTCGCCGCAGCTAAAACTGCGGCTGCGGCAGCCGGGCAGACATCCACGCCTCTGCGGAGGCTGGCCGGAAGTGCTCCCGTCCTCGCCTTCCGTCAGGCTTACGAACGTAATCCTTTCGGGCCCCGTGCGGAACAGGAAGGGGAACTCTTTTGCCGCGGACTCAAACCGGAAGCTGCATTCCTAGCGGAGAGGCCTGTGGGGGAGGAGCAGGCAGCGGTAGAACGTGGGGTGAACGTTGCGTTGCGCGGTGTGGAGCTCAAGCTAGAATAGAAGCTCGGGTCGACCCTGTGCGAAGAGGAGTACCCGCCGCAGGTAAGGGAGAAGGAGTAGTGTCCTTCAGCTTCGGAAATAGGGGAAAAGGACAGAACTGGGTTGACTTGTGGGGTAGTGTGCACTCTGAGAGGGTGGGCTAGGCTGGCAGAGAAAGAGGGGAACCAGGTTCAGGTGGGATGGGTTGGGGATTAAGATATTGAGATATAGTTACAGATTAGTTTGGGCTCGGAGAGGTAAATGCTGAAGAGAAACCAGAGTTGTTTTACTGTCTCCCGGGGAGCGTGGAGACGGGGAGAGTTAACGGAACCCTGCTTCTCCTCGGGTTTCCAAGGTTGGGTTTGAGACTGACCCTTCTTGGTCTTATCTGTTTTTGATTCACTATGGCTGGATTTGGTACCCCACCCCGTTGAGCGCCGATAGCCTATCCCATTCCTCGGTTTCATATCTGTTGTGGCCTCACCTTTGACAGTTCTCGTGCTGAGCCCACCTGGTCTTGTAGGGCAAGCTCAAATAGCTATAAGCCTCTTCTTCGAACAGCTGGTTCTCTGGGTTTCTCCGTTTTGTACACGGGACTGTGAATTAAGCTTAACTATCTTTTTCGCTATTCCCAGGGCTAGCTTTACACATTCATTGCGCTGTGACTGGGTCCATACTGGGCTAGTAATTCACATTCGGGCTTTTGGAGTATCAGTGGCTCAAAGAAGTAGTGAAAAAGCGGGCATCAGTAGAAAAATGCTGGGGGTGAAGTGGAGTGGAGGAGAGTAAGACTGGACGCCAGTTTGGGCTCCCAGTGCAGTGAGCTTTATTTTAGGTAATAGTACTAACCTTTAGGTCACACTGCGCTGTTTGGACTTTCCTACCATCGGGCTGGTGTTCATAGATGATTTTAACCTGAGCAGGGACAGACTCAGACTTGTTTTACAGAAGCATCACTTTAGCAGTGATATGGAGTGTGGCTGGGATGGAAAGAGTTGGGAATTTGGGACGCTTCCGAAAAACTGTCCACAGAATTATGTGACTTTTGCTGCATGAAGAAGAGGGAAGTGAAAGAGTAGAGAACTACTCACATTTTCTAGTATATGTGTTTGGAATGGTGGTGATACCAAAATATAAGTGAGATGCAAGAAAAGAGCCAATTATTTTTTAAGGGAAGACAATGAAGGCAGTCATTTAGGACAAATTAAGTTGTAGGAATCACCCCAAACTTTTGTATATAGGACAAAGGAAATTGTACTTGGGAGACCTGAATAGTCCTCCTCTGGTATTTTTTTAGCCTAATTTTGTTTTCAGGTGTTCTTCATATTTAGGGTTTCAACCACCAACCTACCTGCTTTTCCTATTGAAATGTGGTGGTGGGATCAGGGGAGGAGATTTGAAGGCTCTTTGTGTTTCACTTTTATAATTGAGAGGGAGCGAGAACCAAGTGAAAAAGTTTTCTAGATCCCTCAAGCAGATGGAAATTTTTATTAAAAACAATTTATTCAAGATACATAGATTACCAATTTTTCTTTTGAGAGCACTGCAGAATGATACAAGATATGCTGCATATTTTCTACAGAGTGAAATATAAAATTTGCACCAAATAAATAGTAGTTAAAATTTACTGTGTCAGGCGCTAAGCATTTTACATCTATTACTGAACTTAATTCTTAGAACAACCAATTTTACAAATAAATCTCTGAACCCAGATCTGCAAGTGTAAAGTTCATGCCTTTAGCCACTCTGGAACCATGGAAGTTTGACTCTTTCCTATATAGTTCCCTTTTCTAAGTAGATTCTAATTAGAACCAGCCAAAGATAATAAACTGGTGTTGTCTTTGAGGACCTTAAAAAGAAAAAGTTTAGCACCAAACTTGTTTTAATCCTTTTGGCAGTGTTTCTCAGTGGGGCTATTTTTGGCTTCTGGGGGACATTTGGCAATGTCTGGAGACATTTTTTATTGTTACAGCTGAGGGGTGAGTGCCATTGGCATCTAGTAGGTAGAGGTCAACAACGCTGCTAAACATCATTCAAGGCACAGGACAGCCCTCACAGTAAGAATGAGATGGTCCAAAACGTCTGTAGTGCTGTGGTTAAAAAGCCCTGCCTTGTGGTATTTCTTCAGGAATTGGAAATTGAGATTCACTGTTACTGACTTTCTAAACATTTTTATTTTTTAAATTATTCCTTGATTTGAAAGGTGTTTAAAGTGTATATAGCTGGAACCAAAAAGCATAACTAGTTTTTAAAGTGAACCTGTGAGCTGCGGTTTCCCAGGAGATGGTTGTCATAGAATTATGGATTCATAGATTTGGGAAAGACTTTGGCTTGAAATTATTTTACAGCATCAATGCTAAGTGGTGATTCACTCTGCTTATAGGTCTCCTGTATCTGGTTTCCCTGTATTTTAAATCCATATCTAAACTACTTTTAACAATCACTTTTCTTAACACTGACCTCTAGTCTCATAATTTTGACTTTACTGACTGTTATTCTGCCATGGGACTACACTCAAAACAAGCTTGTTACATGTGTAATTTGTACTGTAACAATTTTTATATTTTTGTTCTGATACAAATCATTTACTTTAATATGAGGTAGTGTTTGTTGGCAGCTTTTAAAAAGTAGCATTATTCTCGGTTGGTGAAGTGTTCTTGGTTGAAAGCAGTAGGGGTTATTTTGTCCCTGTCAAGTAATAGCACAATGAATCTTGAGTTTTTTAAAGTATTTAGTATAATGCAAACAACATACTTGTTTCAAATTGTGCACAGACTCTAAAAACTTAGGCTTTCAAACTCTGGTTAAAATAAGTTGGCTTTAAAAAATACTTACCCCTATTACAAGTTTTGATAAATTTGCTTACAAATGAGTCTACTATGAAAACCAGTCCTATTGCCAGTCTCTGCCCTCCCCCACCAAATTTTTAGATTTATAAATAAATTTAGGTACTTTGTTTTCACTTCAAGATTACAATTGCAGAATATGTTTACCCTAGGGCATATAGTTCTCACAATATACTTAACATATATACATCTTGTAAAATAGCATAGTTCTTTTTCAAAGTAAATAGGATTTTTGTTTAATTGTCTATTGACTTTTTTTTTTCCAGGGTTCATTGAAAAATCCTTAGTGATATTGACATGTTTCAAGTGACATAAATTAGCCAGTGACTCGGAATGATGGATTCCCCGAAGACTGGAAATGGTTTGCCAATGATTGGACCAGGGCCTGATATAGGGGTATCATCACTCCACATGGTGGGGTATTTGGGAAAAGTTAGTGAACTTATTTTTTGCCTCAGTGCAAAGTTGGGGGTTTTTTTCCTCCTATTTTTGAGACCTTAATTCGGTTTTAATTTTACCAATTCTAAAAAATCGTGTCTTCCACGGAAATCTTATAGCAATGGCGAAAGATTGTTTTACTGTGTTTACCTCTGTGTGTTTTATTAATATGTGAAAGTAGAAAAAAAGCATAGACCTTATGGTTCACTATTCTTTGAAAATATGGAACATGCATTTTCCCTGGCAATTGACATCACTTTTTTCCTGCAAATAAAACTGATGCTATTTTTAACACTTAAAATTTAATATTGAAAAGCTACAATATATTCTTTTTGGAATGATAACTGTGTTTAAAGCCTATGTGCATTTTTTTTTATTTGCCATGTTGAAATATCTTGCCAGGACACTTGTAGGTGAAAGTTGTAATTTTTTTCTGGTTACTTTTCCATTTAACTTTTTGTAATTTGATACAATCTAGGAATATCTATATTTTAATCTGCTTTATTTCTCTCTTAGAATTACAATCCTGCTAACATCCTGTCAGATGGGTATTGCCCTGCTTGTAGAGAGAAGGGAAAGTTAAAAGCCTTAAAGACTTACCGAATAAGTTTTCAAGAATCTATCTGTTTATGTGAAGATCTGCAGGTAAAGTATTAATCTTAGATAGCACCAGGGTTTTTAGCCTTTTGCTTTTTTATCCAGTGTTTAAATTTGTACCCATTTTGTATTTTTTTACTGTACATTTTTAATACATAGATAATCAGAGTTTCTAGATCTGTCTAGTATGCAAGAAGATGTTTGTTTTTATTGTTATTAGAGTTGTGAGAAGAGCAAATACATTTTAAGATTGGTTTTGTTTGTTTTTTTAGCTTTTTTGGGGGCGCCTGTTAGCTATTGCTCTATAGTAGTTATTCTGTCATCTCTTTGGTTTAACTTTGGGACTTTTTGGAAAAGTTATTAATCTGTACATGTTATATACTTAAGGCCCTAAATGTCTTTTAGGATTAATTATATATAAGCAATTTGTACAACTTTTATGTAGGAGCTCATTAAAATCCATACTACTCTACATTTTATTATACCTGACAGTTAAGAACCTATAGATGCACATTTAATTCTCAAAACTTTGCAAGGTGGTGGTTCCCATTTTGTGAATAAGAAAACAGATGCAGAATGTTCAGGATCTCAGGGTCTTCATAACGCAGCAGTGCTGTAATTGGACTGCAATCTAATTCCAGGTAAGCTAGCAGTTTGTCAGAAGCACCTGGACTACTTTTAGAAGTTCCTGGTCTCACACACAGGTGACAATTCAGTAGCGTTGACCCAGATTTCTGCAGTTTTGTAACTTTTGAGGACGAGTCTGCTGATGAGCCAAGTTTGGAAAAAACTAGACTAAATCGCACTGTTGGTTATAGATACTTTGCTAGGGACAACGCGGAGAAAACCCCAGGCATTGTTACAAGTAGAAATCAATTTCTTTTGCATTTATTCAGTAAATAGTTTTTTTGAGTTCGTACTGTTTCAAATGCTAGAATACAACAAATAAAATAAAAATGTCTTGCTCTCAAGGTTATATTCTAGAGTGAGGAAGAAAATAGATAAGTATATTTTTGTGTGTGAAGCGATGAAAAGTGCTGTGAGAAAAATTAAACCATGGGGACTGAGCTGAGTGTCAGGGATTGGGGAGTTTGCGATGTTAAATAGAGTGTTGAAGGGCACTCTTCATTGAGAAAATGATGTTTGAGCGGAGACCTGTAGGAGATGCACAGGAGCAGTCCCCTGGCAGAGTGGCAGGTCCGAGGCCCTGAGGGTGGGGGCCGGCTGTCCACGTCTGTGCTACTGCAGGAGACCAGAAGAGCAGGCCTGAGCAAATGAAGCAGAGTCGGAGAAGATGGGCCAGAAAAGTGGTGGGGAGGGGGCTGGACCAAGTAGGGTCTTCTCGGCCATTTTAAGGTCCCTGGCTTTTACTCTGACTGAAAAGAAAAACCTTAGTAGGGATGTTGGCAGAGGAGTGACATGATGTGACTTACCTGTTACAAGGTTCACTGTGGCTGGCGTGTTGAAAATCCATGTCCATGAGCAAGATCCACAGCAGGGAGGCCGGTTGGAAGGCAGTGGCAGTATTCTGGAGAGCAAGTGGTGACCAAAGTGATGAGGCATGACCTTTTCTATATATGTTTTGAAAGTGGAGCCAAAAGGATTTCCTGAAAGTTTGGGGTATGCTGTAGGAGAGGGGGGACTCGAGGATGAGCCCAGATGTTTAGCTTGAATGATTGGAAGGATGAAATTGCCAGTTGCTGAGATGAGAAGAGGAAGACACAGGGGAAGATCAGGAGGTGTCTAGTATCTGTGGGTTTGTCGGACAAACAGTTGGATCTTGTGTACTGGGTGGAGAGTGAGATTGAAGACACTTGGGAGGCATCAACACGTAGGTGACAGACATGAGACCCAGTGAATTTACTTACGTAGGAGTATGGATAAAAAGAATAAATCATAAAGAACCCTGCATAGTGTTCATTTTAATTAAGTAGGGGTGCTGACTCTGCTTGAGATTGGTAAAGATTTTTTGCTTTTTAATTTTTCGCCTCTGTAAAAAAAACTTTTTAAAAATTTAATTGTGAAAAGAAACACAACATAAAATTTACCATCTTAACTAGTGTGCAGTACACTGTACACAGTTCAGGAGTGTTAGCTTTATTCACAAGGTTGTGCAACAGATGTCTAGAACTTGATTTCATCTTACACAACTGAAATTCTGAACCCATTAAACAACAATTCACCTTTTCCACTCCCCCCACCCCTGGAAACCACCATTCTACTTTCTGTATGAATCTGACTACTCTAGGGACCTCATGTAAGTGGAATCACACAGCATTTGTCCTTTAGTGATCGGCTGATTGCACTGAGCACAGTGTCCTCAAGGTTCATCCATGTTGTAGCAGGTGACAGAATTTCCTTTCTTTTTAAAGGCTAAGTAATATTTCATTTTGTGCGTAGACCACGTTTTTCTTTATCCATCTGTCTGTCCATGGACATTTGGGTTGCTTGACCTTTGTCCCTAGTTCCTTAAAATTTAGATTGATGATTTTATACCTTCATGTCAAATTAATGCTAAAATTTTATACATATTTTTCATGACTTAGAAACAGGAAAGTAAAACTTGAGCTTCTTTGAATTTTTGTGGTTTTTATCATTTTATTTTTTCTTTCCAGTGCATTTATCCTTTAGGCTCTAAATCACTTAATAACCTAATTTCTCCTGATTGGGAGGATCGTGACACCCCAAATAAGCCTCAAAAAAGAAAGCGCTTGGAAACAAACTATAAAGATTCACCTCCTTTAGCAGATTCCAAAAAGATTAAAGATCATCTTGTTACTGGTGGTGAGCGAGTTTTGAACAGCAAACATGGCAGAGAAGGACATGATGAAACCCCATCGGTCATACCTGTCTCACTGCACAGTGGTCAACAGAACCCAGTTAGGACCGGCGAGTCCTTGGAGCAGGATAAGATTTTGGAAGCTGCTGTCGTTGACATGGCTGCTGAAGAAGATGCTACTACAGTTGATGTTTCTGGAACTGGGGAGCCTGCCCCTCAAAATGAAGGAGGCACATCTGACCTAGATATGCCATTGGGGAGCAAATGCACACCATCCAGCCAGACTTGTGTTCAGTGGAAAAACTCTTACTCTCTCTGTTGGCTAGACTGTATCCTGTCGGTGTTGGTGCACTTGGAAGTGGTAAGAACGGCCGTGATGACTGACCTGTGCTCGAAAGAGGACTCTCTGTTCTGGCGGTTGTTCACGAAGTACAGTCAAGCCAGTACGTTGCACACCAGTCAGTTGGATGGAGTTCAAGGTTGGTAGTAATATTTTATTTCTCTTTAATTTGTGAAGGGGTGAATATTGAGTTTTGTCTCACAGCATGTGGGAAGATGCCATCAGTAGCCTCTGTTGTATGTGGAGATCTGGGAGCAAGAAGCCAGGGACAGTGTCATGAAGCTTGAACCAACACCAGTTACATTATCATGAGTGCTCCCAGAAGGCAGTCTTTTCAAAAATCTGAGTAAAGATGAAAGGCTGTGGTGTATCTTTAGCTGTCAGGGTAATGATGGTCATCATAGAGCCCATCATAGTAAAATTTTAAGTTTTAAATTGCTGTAAAGCAGAATAAAGAGGTAAATACAAATCACCCACAATTCCACAACTTGCCCCAAATCTCTTTTCATAGGGATATATTTTTTTTTATTTTCTATAAAATAGGATACCCATGAACCTCTATCCCCAACCCAAGAAGAATTAAAATATTCCCAGTAATTTACATCTACCTATGTGTTCCTCCCCACCCCATTCTCCACCCCCCCCCAAAGGTAATCGGCAGCCTGAAATGTTTTATTCTTTTCTTAATAGTTTGTTCTGCATTATGCATGTCTAAACAATATATTGTCTAATTTGTTCTCAATTTTATAAAAAAGGATATGCAATATGTCTTCTGGGACCTTTTTTTCTTTTTATAAAGATATATCTATGAAGTTGCTTGCTTTTGTGTTTCGTTGATTTTAATTGTTGTAGAATATTTCCATTTGGTAACTGTCTCGATGCATTTATAAATTCACCTGCCATTAGGTCGTTTCTTGCCATTATAAATACTGCTGCTGTGACTATTCTCAGACAAGTCTCCTGGGATACATAGCGTTTCCGTTGGATATACGAGGAATTGCCAGATCATAGGCTCTGAGTTTACAATATGTAGCCAATTGTTTTCCAAAGTGTCTGTGCCAATCAGTACTCCATTAGCAATGCATGAGAGCTCTTCCTGATTTATAGAGTCTCCCGTGGTTATTCTCACACTTGGAGATTTTTGCTGTTTGAACCATGCACAATGGTTTGCGTTTCCCAGATCGCAGGTTAAACGGCTCTTCCTGTATAGCTCCTCCCTCCTGTGTGAAATACCTGCTGTGTATGACCATTTGTTCCACTGCCATGTCCTTACTGGTGTGTATGAGTTTTTATATGTCCTTGATGCTCTGTGTGTCTGATAAGTGTTGCTAAATCTCCCAATTTTTATCTTGGGTTTTTCTTTTTTTTTTTAATTTTTTCTTTCTTTTTTTTTTTTGGTGGCTTTAGGTGTGTTTTATTGGTTTTTCAGAATTTGTGTTTTTACTTTTTTAACCCTTTTGCCCCCACAGTCGGATATATCCAAATGAATATATCCAAAATATTTATACATAAAAATAATGTCATTTACATACAGAGCAGCTGAAATTGTTATTACTAAATGCATAAAGTAATCAAAATATCAACTTTTTGGTTTTTTTAAATTTCTGACACATTTTGAAAAAAAAACTTGAAATCAACACAATGAAAGAGTTAAAAATGCCTTTAATGTACAGAAATTGTCCATCTTTCCTTTTGCAGTTAGTAATGTGATTTTTAAAAGAAATCTTTCCCCCAAATCAGAAAGTCATTCTCCTATATTTTCACTGAAAAGTCATCAAGTTTTGCTTTTCACATTATTTGTGTATGGTGTGTGGTAAGGTCCCATTTTTTTCCCCCATTGCATAGCCAGTTTTTCTACCTCTACTTTTTCTCTTAGTTGATCTGCCACGCCACTTTTGTCATATAATATTCCATATGTACACCTGTTTCTTAACTCTTAGTTTTATTCTCTTGGTCACTTTATCTGTCCCTGCACTAATAACACACTATATTAATCATTAGGACTTTTTAGGTCTTGCTATCTGCTAGTAAAGGAATCTTCACCTTTATTCAACTTGACTTCGGTCATGCGATATTTTATGTAAATCTTACACATTGTTTTCCCTTGGTGGCCATTCAAGCTGCTTCCCATGTTTTGCTATTATGAATCAACATCATGACAAATATCCATCTATCCTTTGAATCCATTGCTGATTATATCATAGAAGGAATATTAAAATACGAATATGAAGACTCTTTCTGAATGGCTTTCCAGAAGGTTTATACCAGCATATAGTTACATTTTCATGTGTAGAAGAAAATATCCCAGAACACGCTCAGCATCTCTGTATAAACATTTAAAAAGTTGTCATTTTGTTAGATAAGAAATATTGTGTTTCAATTTGACTTTCTTTGAGATTGAATTTCTTAGTGATTTTTTAATTTTTTTTAAAGATTTTTATTGGGGAATTGGATGGGAACAGCGCTGGGGGATTGTGGGAACGGGAACAGACAAGTTGCTGTCCTTTTGTTCTTCAATCTAGTTGTGGAGGACGTTGCTTCACTGGCCCAAGTTGGTACCATCATTGCGCTCTTCCCGGGCGAGGCAGATCAGTCGCCAGCTTCTGGACGGCCGCTCACTGCGGCTGCTGGCCGCTCACGCTAGCTGCTGGCTACATGCGGGTAGCCCATGGCAACCCACTGCCACAGGCTGCAGCCTACGCCGTCGCCAGCGACTCATGGCAGCCCAGCTCCAGGTTGAGCTGTTCAGCACCTTAGCTGTAGAGGGCAGGGTCACTGGCCCTCATATGTGGGATCTGAACCGGGGCCCTCTGGCGTCCCAAGCCCTTAACCACCAGGCCACTTGGCCGGCCCTCTTAGCAATTTTAAAATCAGTTTTTCACAGCATTTTTGCTTTTATCTTTTCTCTATTCCTGTTTTCTACACTTACAGGAACCCCAATACTGAGTAGGTGACAATTGTTCAATTATTACTGCAGAAAGGATCCCTCATTCAAATTTTGATTTGAATATTGAATTAATTTTAAACATATCTTAACCTTATATAGATGTTTTGCAGCATAGTAGTATTTATGATATGGTTATAATTACATTTGTTTGAGCTGCATTACTTTGAATTATTAGTGTTCTTTCTTTGGCATGGTCAAATAAAAATTGTGGTTGATGCTTATAATCAGGATATATGAATTATTTATTTGGAAGAGATTTGAGTGAAAAGATCTATTTGTAGCTTAAGAGCAACTAGAATCAGATGTATATGGAGGCTTTTATTCAAAATAATTTTCTTATTAATCTTAGATAGTTTCTGTCACAGTAATTCCATTTTGAGGACTTTTATCCTAAAGAAATTATCAAAAACACGGACAGGTATGTGCCCAAAGATGTTTGTCATCATAGTATTTATTATAGTGGAAAAAGAAGCCAGTGTGGAGCAATAGGGGAATGGTTAATAAAACTGTTTAGGGGCCGGCTGAGTGATGCATTGATTAAGAGTCGACTTGGGATCACCAGCTCTGAGCAGCAGGGCCCCAGTTCAAATCCCACATGAGAACCAATGACACTGCGCCCTCTATAACTAAGATGGTGAACAACAGCTTGACCTGGAGCTGGGCTGCCATGAGTCGCCAGCAACGGCCGTAGGCTGCAGTGGGCTGCTGTACGCTACCATGAGTGGCTGGCAGCCAGCGAGAGCTGCCATGAGCCGCCGTGAGCGACTGTCCACTGGCCAGTGATCCATCTGCCTCACCCGGGAAGAGCACAATGATAATACCAACATGGGCCAGTACAGTGATGTCCTCCACCACTAGACTGAAGAACAAAAGGACAGCAACTTGTCTGTTCCCCTCCCCCAATTCCCCAATAAAGTCTTAAAAATAAGTAAATAAAACTGTTTAGTCGGAGTGTAATAACTAGCTTGCAGAGTTTTAAATGAAGCAAATTTGAAAGAAAAATGCAGGATATGGAATTATATGAACACTATGATGTCATTTAAGTGTCCCCCCCCCCCACACACATAAAGACATATATGGAGGGATTTATGCCTAGTGTTAGTTTGGGAAATAATCATAGTTTATTAACACTTCTCATAACTTTGTCTGCTCCTATGATCTAGCTAAGTCAATCAGAGGGGACTAAATGCTTAGACGTTATCTGTGGCATGAGTAATAATCACTGCCTCCATTGCCTCCAAGATGGGCAGAGCATCTGAGAGCTCCGCTCCCGCTAGGCCTGCCATCACCCGGAGGAAGGCTTTCGCTGAGTTTGTGCTCAAGTATAATGACGTTGGCCCAGTCAGTCAGCACTAATGATACCATGCTGTTCACAAATAGTGAGGGAATATACGGTAGATATACCACAAGAGAAGAGGAAGAATTAAGGAAATTCTGTTTTTCATTTTGTCTTTGCAAAATTTATTGACTGATAAACTTTCATTCTTGGTAATGTCTTATTTTTTTTTAAAAAGATACAGACTGATGAGAAATTGATAATGTTCTGTATTTTATTTTTAGATGAAGAGTATAAAAAAGTTTCTTCAGAAATATTTGCAAAGATAGAGACCTGTCTGAATGAAGTCAGAGATGAAATTTTTATTAGACTTCAGCCTCAGCTTGGATGCACATTAGGTAAGTAATTTGTGTAATTTAACGTATTATTCATCTACCATAAAGAAACACATGATAAGGAAAGATAATATTGTTTTATTACTTTAGATGATCAAATTCTTGGGAGAGAGCCTGGGTAGTTTGCTAGGAATTGCCCACTGGTTAGATCATTGGTGGGCAGAGCTATTCCATGTAAATATGCGGGCTGGGTCCCACCTTTTGAGTGGACGCAGGCCCCAGAACCTGTCGGTGAAGACTCGGGGTATACCTTTTGTTGCTTTTTCAGTGCTTTCCCCCAGTAGAATAGTTTAGCCTTTTTTAGCCTTGACTGTGCATTAAAATGCACCTAGTGAATTTAAGAGTAAATGCTAGTGCTAGGGGCCCATTAGAAGACTCTTGAGGATAGATCTTGGGTGTGTAATCTTTAGAAGCTCCCATGTGATTCTTACCAGCAGACCAGGTTGAGACTCTCTGGCCTAAACCCCAGAGTAACTCCGCTCCCTGTGCCAGTGATTGGTTCAGGAATGGACAGGTGGTATAGTTTTTGCCAGTGGAATATGAGGAGAAATACACTGGTACCTTTTGGGAAAACTTTCTTAATCTTTAAAATAAGACACCTGCTTTGTCCTCAATGAATTTGCTTTTGGCTTCTGGGAGCAGAGTGGAGCAAGGGCACTAGATCTTTGGGTCTTTCCAAATGTTTTTAGTATTGCACAAAGGAGTTGTAGTGGTTTGTTTGTTTGTTGGAGGGGGATATCTTTTTGTTTTACTTCTCTTTGTCCTTGCATTAACTCTATTAATATCGTATTGTAGTAGTGGAACATATGGTACCCCTGTTAGAATGTTACCCATATTGAATTATGTAGAATATGAGTGCCTTCAGGTTTTTCTCTCTTGAGTGGCATTATTTCATCAGACCCAGATATTGTATCTGGAAGCAGTGTCTTTTTTGCATGATAGTATCTCTTCTTTGTCCCACATTTGCCCCCTAGTTTTACTATCTTGTTTTTTCATTAACTCCTACAGATACAAGTTTATTGTTATAACAGCAAACTGACTTTCCATATGCCAAATCCTTGGCATTGCCTCCTCTAGGTCTAAAGGGATGTATAGACCCAAGGGACTCCCATGTTGCATTTCACAGGTATCATTTCCCTCCTAGCATGACCTGATGTTTTTATTCAGGGTCCGGACTCCAGATCTGGTTGAACTAAATAGTAGCTTCTCCCTTGTCTGAATCACCACCCTTCCCCTGATTATTACATTTGGAACAAAGTAGCCTCTTGCTCCACTGCTGCCTTGGGCCTGGTTTTCTTTGTAACAGAGAAGGGATTTTTGAATTATGTGTGCAATCACAGCAATTGGGCAAGCCCTGAGCTCTTCTAATTCAATAGAATCCCTCCTGCTACTCATTCCACAGTGCTAGGTGTGACTTCAGAGCTTAAAATCTTACTGATGAAATCTAATCTTTGCTTCAGAGAGCACAGTAAAATCACCATGGACGGGTCCTCATTCTGAATAGTAACATGTATTTTAAAGATTGTAAAATACTAAAGAAAGAGAAGTAGAATCTGTACTGACCCTGAATGTTGGTTACATTTTTAAGATCAATCACTTTATCATTTTGTTTATTGTTTTTTAAAAAACACGTTGTAAACTGTCCTCTCTGCTCTCCCTGCCCACAGTTTAAGAAACATAACATTACAAATACAACCGAGGCCCCCTTGTACTCTTCCCCAATTCTTCCTTACCTCCCCACAAGGTAACTACTACCTTCAAGTTGGTGTTTTCTTTCCTTTTAATGTTTATATTCCTTTTTTAAAATAAGAAAAAGCCAATATTGTTATGGTTCCTACTTACTTGTGGAAGTCGGAAGAGCAATTTAGCCTGGGTGCTGTGTACCAGCTTGAGGATAGGCAGGCCCTCAGAACAGAGTAGTCCAGACCAGAGCCCTCCTTGTTGGTCACTTCATACTGTGACAGGCGGTGATATAGATACGGTGGGAAAGAAAAGGCAGCCAGCAAGTGATGCCGGGACAGGTGGTTCCTGATACAGGGGGAAAATTGGACTCTACTTCACACCATAATCAGAAAGAAACTCCAGCATGTATAAAGACCTGACTATGAAAAGCCGAGTTGTAAAACTTCGGAAGAAAATATATGTAAATACTTTATCACTCAGTGGGGAAGAATTTCTCAAATAAGATACATAAAAGATTGGTAGATATGATTACATTGAAATTTAAAACCTCAGGGTAAAGACAGAACAAAGAAATGATATCCAGTATATCTTACAAAGAACATCAGTTAAAAAAAGACAGACAGCCTGATAGCAACGTGGCAGAAGACATTAATGACCTATTAACTAGGTAGCGAAGGGTCACTGAAGGGTTTGCATCATGGCAAATGAAGGGACTTGGGGCTGGGGTGTGCGGCTTGGGGCTGGGGCTGGGGCTGGGGCTGGGGGCATGGGGCTGAGTACTAAAGGCAGAGAAACCACTCAACTAACTAGGCAGGAGGTTGTAAAAATTGGAATTAGGCATTGGTATTATTTGTTCTTTAGTAGTATGCTTTACAATTAATACCTATAAAATTAATAATCAAAGGAAAAATAAGATCAATTTAAGAGCTATATGAATTACCTAAAATCATCTGTAATAACTTATTTAACTGTGTTTTGAGCTCCTTCATGATATTTGATTCATTGGGAACTTTATGTATTTTTAGATCTGAAGGTTCTATTATATGTTGTCATTATGAAGTAAATGATTTACTTTTTCAATTAATATTTAGTTACAAGAATAAGCATTTAAAGTCTGAGAACTAATGATGAACGCATGCTATATACTACACACTGTTTAAGCATATGGTGTTGCATATGTTCATTTTTAGGAGATTGATTTGTATTTATTTCTGTTTATAAAAAATATTTTGTTTTGATTTTAATGTTTTTGTACAAAAATGGCAGTGGGACTGTACCACAAAGGTAGCTATTAAAAGAGCCTTTGTAACTACTGATATTTATAGAGGATGCTTAGGCAGTGGCACCTGCCATTCTGCTTTTGGTCCTGCCAAGGTGTCTCCTCCAGGTTGGGTCCTGGCAACTGTAATTCCAGGCTGGGGGAGAACTGGACCATGGAAGTGAGGCTGTGCCAAGGGAGGGAGGGGATGGAAGGACTCGGATGTTTTCCAGGGCCAGATCTGTAAGGCAGCATCTAAGCTCCCCAGAGGAGAGGAAGAAGAGAAGCCAGTTGGACAAGGAATATAAAAGTAGAATGTAAATCCTATGTAACTTGCTTGCCCAGCTCCACACTGGAAGACAGTACTCGTGGTTCAGTTTTTGTTTTAATGACAACAAAATTTAGATCTCTAATCTTAAAGTTGCTGGATTTGAATTTTAATAGTTAAAAGATTAAGAAGAGGACTGGCCGAGTGGCTCGTTGGTTAAGAGTAGGCTTGGGAGTGCCAGTTCTGAGCAGTAGGGCCGCGGGTTCAGATCCCACATGGGCCAGTGACACTGTGCTCTACAGCTAAGATGGTGAACAGCTCGACCTGGAGCTGGGCTGCCATGAGTCGCCAGCGACAGCATAGGCTGCAGTGGGCTGCCATAAGCTACCATGAGTTGGCCTGCAACCAGCATGAGCCGCCGGCAGCTGGCATGAGCTGCCGTGAGCCTCTGTGAGCGGCCGTCCAATGGCTGGTGATCGATATCTGCCTCACCCGGGAAGAGCGCAATGATCACAATACCAGCATGGGCCAGTGAAGCGACGTCCTCCACAACTAGACTGAAGAACAAAAGGACAACAACTTGTCTGTTCCCCTTCCCTGATTTCCCAGCGCTGTTCCCCTCCCCCAATTCCCCAATAAAATCTTTAAAAAAAATAAAAAAGTTAAGAAGAGTGGTCGGTGAGGGTTATGGTGAGGAGTTGGGACATCTGAGGCTGGTCTTTTAACCTTTGTGTGTCATGCTTTCCATATGTGAACAAGAGTCGGGATGGAAATAGCTTTTTAATGACTTGATCCAACTCGGAGATTCCTCTACATGTTTCACCAGCTATATTATTTTTAGTATCTGTAGCAAACCATTTACAGATTTTTATTTTGTTTTTATAATAAGGTTATTATAGTTCTGAGGATTTTTTTGTCCCTAAAAAGATCTGAGAAGATTGTATGGGTCTATTGTGTTTTTGTTTTAAGAAGTTTTCTTAAGTGTCTACCAAGAAAAATGGATAATGAAGTGATAATTAAATGTTTATTATGGACATTTTTAGAAAAATGCTTTGAAAACTTTCCCTTGCCAAAGTGAATAACTTAACTTTGCTATATATACATCTTCACCTGTATTACTACTGTGAGTATAGTGAGAAAAGACAACAGTTCATAATTTGATTTACCTTTTTCTGTTCATTATGAGTTATAATTCTTCCTTTCCTTTTGAAGGTGATATGGAAAGCCCTGTGTTTGCATTTCCCCTGCTCTTAAAAGTAGAGCCCTGCATTGAAAAGCTCTTCACGTACTCTTTTTCTTGGAACTTTGAATGTTCACAGTGTGGGCACAAGTATCAAAACAGGTTAGTTTTTCTATTGTTTTAAAACAGATTGATTCAATTGAAAATGGTTCTGAGTAATAAAATTCGCTTCCACTAGTAGCACTGCTGTCTCCTGGGTTCCTTCTACCCTTGATAACATTTCCCACCTTATCTTGAAGCCTCTCCACCATTAAGGTTAAAAGGAAAAATTTGAGCCCCAGAAACAACAGTTTGCTTGCTCCTTTAAACCGGAAGACGGGAAAACTCATAGTTTGCTAGATTTCTAGTGGGGGTTTTCTTAGGAATTCTTCAGTGGGAAGCGGGACATGGGGAGTGTAGCCCATTCACCTCCACTCCCCCACGCCCTCCGCCAAGCCCCCACTGAGTAAGAACATGTCTCAGAACTCCTTGAAACTGTGTTTTGTGTACTCCTGTTAGAGGCATTTGTTGATTACTTTATCCTTCTTTGGTTTTAAAATGGTAGCTTCCCTGAGAATGGATTTCTTTTTCATAGCCTGTGCTTATCTTACTTATCATTTATCAATATTTGCTGTTATTTAGAAAAGAAGGTAGCATCATCTAGGTAATAAATAGTAGTTCTTTTAAAGATGATTTCATTAAAGTGAATCCAGTTGCGGTACAGTGTACATTTTTTTTAATGATCATCTTTTTAAATGCTTATTGCTGTCAAGTATTCACGCCAAAGTGCAAATTCAGAACTTGTGTGTAACCTGTGAACACAAAATTCTTTCAACAACTGATGTTGTAATTTTTTAAGGATCAAGAAAATTAAGTTGTGCGTATTCCTGATTCTGTGTTTGGAAATGCCCCTTTCGTTTTGGTTTGTAAATAATGAATAGCCAGGTTGTGAATTTATTGAGTAAGGGGTGAGCTCTTAACAAATTTGAAAACCTTAGAACAGTGGTTCTCAACTCGGGACAATTTTGCGCCCTGTGGGACATTTGCAATATCTGGGGATACTGGTTGCTCCAAGTGGGGCTGTTACTGGCATCTGGAGTATAGAGGTCAGGCATGACGTGAAACATCCTACAGTGCACAGGACGGTCCCCACAACAAAGAATTACCCAGTGAAAATTTCAGGGGTGCTGCTTGTGAGAAACCCTGCCTTTAACAGTTTCTTCATCTCATAGCTGGAAAACTATATGTAATAAATGTGGAGAGTCTTCACAGAGAGCTCTCCTAGGATTAGAGAGCAACATCACCTATTAATTTATGATATGGTTGGTTAAGTATGAATAAACAAATGAAGGGAATTGCTTTTTATTTAAAACGTGGATTTAAATTAGCATGAATTTAAGTTACGTCTTCTGTTTTTATAGGTGTATGAAGAATCTGGTCACCTTTACAAATGTCATTCCCGAGTGGCACCCACTTAATGCTGCCCATTTTGGTCCATGCAACAATTGCAACAATAAGTCACAGATAAGAAAAATGGTGTTGGAAAAGTGAGTTAAATTTGCCTTACTGATTTTAAAACAAAATGAAAGTGGATTTGCATATTTTTTTAATGAGTAGAATTGAAAGTGATGACTGGAACCTACTTTGCAGAAGTTTGAGTTAACACTATTTGTGATTCACCAAAATGCCCCTCTCTGCCCTGGACCTTGGCCTACCCAGGGCTGCCTCAGGCGAAGGCCACTGAAAAGCTGACCCCCTCTCCTACAAGTGTCTTTCATTCTTTTGCCTTTTTTCTCCCTTTAAGGATATTGAACTTAAATTTTTCTCTCTTCCACCAAGTGCCTGGAGTCGCTAGAATGCTGGGATTCCCTTAATCTCATTTTAAGCTCTAAGATGATGCAAAGATGAGCCACAGACTCATCTGTCTGAGTTACCATCTCCTCCCATACCTCGGCCTCAGCTAGTTCTTCATCCTCCTGTTACCCTCCTGCTGCCCTCGAGCAGATGTGTTTTTATTATGTCTTGCCAGCCTTTCTGTTTGTCCTCAGTGGAAGGACTGGCCAGAATTACCTTTTCTGGCATTACAGGAAGCACCGCATCTGAACTCCTAGGTCAGTCCCATTTTAGGCAGTTTGTCTCCCTTGTTAATACACTCACACACGTGTACATGCTCTTTAACCTTCATTTTCTGTTGTCTTTAATTCTGTATAAGGATATGTTTTGAGGAATAATTTGATGTCCTAAAGAACCAGTGAGGGCCGGCCAAGTGGCACGTTAGTTAAGAGCTGGCTTGGGACGCCAGACGGCCCTGGTTTGGATCCCACATATGAGGGCCAGTGACGCTGCCCTCTACAGCTAAGATGCAGAACAATAGCTCGACCTGGAGCTGGGCTGCTGTGAGTTGCCGGCAACAGAGTAGGCTGCAGCCCCTGCTGCAGTGGGTTGCCATGGGCTACCATGTGTAGCCAGCAGCCAGCGTGAACGGCCAGCAGCCTCTGTGAGTGGCCGTCCAGAAGCCGGAAGCCAGCGACTGATCTGTCTCACCCGGGAAGAGTGCAGTGATGGTGCCAACTTGGGCCAGTGAAGCAACGTCCTCCACAAGTAGACTGAAGAACAAAAGGACAGCAACTTATCTGTTCCCCTTCCCCCAATTCCCCAATAAAAATCTTAAAAAAAAAAAAAAGAACAGTGATAGTCATATCATACTTTTTCTGATGCCCTTGGATGTGCCAAGAAACCCCTCAGAATCTTTCCTAAAGGTTTGCTTTCATCCAAGTAATAAATTCTCAGTCTGATAGTGCCAAGACTTAAAATGGAAAAGAGAGCAGTACCCCTCGTACCCCAGCTTCAGGCACCTGCTTTAAACCTTTCAGGTAGGATTTACCTGGACTCTTCAAAGCCATGAGTCTGTCCCACCTTTTTCCAGCCTTTTTCTTTGATAGCAGCTGATTTGGTAGGGCAATTACCCAGTGTCTGGGGCCCATCTCTACTGAACCTCCCTGTCCTTCCAGTGTGATACATTTGTGGTTAAATCACGCGTTGTTTATCATAAATATGCACATATCCCCTCTCTAGCCAGCAGTATGTAGGGTTATGTTTCATTTCTTTTATAACTCCTTGTTTTCCTGGAATTATTCATTGCCTTGTGTTTCATTTGCTTTGTTTATGTATGCATTGTGATTTTTTTCCCAAATTCTTCAAACACCCATTAATATTTCTCTGAACATTCAAATGCTACACAATTTTTGAGTCTTCCTTCCCTTTTTTCCCTGGGAACCTCTTTTCTGATGCCTTTCGCCCTTTTGCTCCAGGGTGTCAGTCTGTGCTGGTTCCTCCCTGGGCCTAGTGCGGGGAATGCTACACGTTCCCTAGCGCAGTTTGTAGCCCAGGGATACTTCTCAGCCATTCATTGCTCAGCACTTGTTGTCCTTAGATATGAAGTCTCTTAGGGACTCTTCTCAGCAGTACACCCACTCTGTAGCATTCCTGTCATCATGCCATCCATTCTGCCACCTGAGCCACCGCTTTCCTGTTTGCTTTTTGTCTTCTGAATACTTATTGTCTTCTTGTCTTGTTTGCTCATGTCTCCTTTCCTTTTCTTTGTCCTTTTGGTTTATTACCGTTTTCTGCCCTTCACTATCAGATAGCATTTGAGTGGGAGGGCAGAGTGAGAAAGAAGAGATCACTTCAGCCAGAAGCGCCCAGTCCGTGTCGCCTGCCTGAGTCCCCATGTTGGGATCTAAGTGTTGAGGGAGCCTCTCCTCAATGAGGAGCGCAAGGGGCAGCAGGCGTGGCTTGTGCCACCTGCAGCTGGACCACTGGATCGCTTGAGGCTTCTTGGTGTATATAATTTCATCTAACTGTTTATATCCACTTTTTAAGCCCCAACATTGAAGATAAACTCATACTACTATTTTGTTTGTTTTATTTTATTTGTTAATTGTTCACATTGCAACATAAATTTTTTAATTATACAAATATGTTGCTTTACTTATATTAAAGATTCATGCTGTGATCTGGAAGTGTATCTGTTAGGTATAACAGTGTTTCAGCGGGAAATGTCTGTAGCGTTCTAATGGGTTGGTTTATAAGCAGAATTTATAATTTGGACATTATTATATTCAGCAGTAAATTGAACATTGAACTAGCATAAAATTTCACTGAAAATTTAAATGACAATGTCTTTATAAAGTCCTTTATAAAGTTTTTCACTTTGAAATTTGTATAACGTGATTTGTTGGTGTTTAATGGAATTTAGAAACAAATTTAATATAGTTTGTAGGGATAACTTAAAAGTAATTATGCCCATCATGATATGCATAATTTAATCTTACAGCATTCTAAAAACTAATAATGTTTTAAGTTCCCTGAACACCTTGTCTCAGGTAATCTATGTTGGTAATATATTCCCATTAAGAAGAGTCCACTGATAAATCAGATGAATGATATTTAGTGGGTCCAAGTCTGCTACTTTTCTTTAAGTAACATGTTTAGGGATTATATTCAGAGCATGGTAACATGAAGCACCTACTTATAATCTGATTTAATTTTACCTCACAAGCTCGTGAAATGACTGTTTCATTCTCATTGCCACCACAATCTCCTTTAGGAGTCTGATCATACACTATTCTTGATTGTCACTTGAAAAGTTATTTATTTTATTTTATTTTTATTTTTATTAAAGATTTTATTGGGGACTCGGGGGAGGCGAACAGCATTGGGGAATCGGGGAAGGGGAACAGACAAGTTGCTGTCCTTTTATTCTTCAGTCTAGTTGTGGAGGACGTCGCTTTACTGGCCCATGTTGGTATTATCATTGCACTCTTATCGAGTGAGGCAGTTGTTTGCTGGCCATTGGATGGCCGCTCACAGCAGCTCACACTGGCTGCCGGCCAGCCCCACTGCAGACTACGCTTTGCTGGCGACTCACAGCAGCCCAGCTCCAGGTCAAGCTGTTGTTCACCATCTTAGCTGTAGAGGGCACAGTGTCACTGGCCCATGTGGGATCTGAACCGATGGCCCTGCTGCTCAGAGCTGGCATCCCAAGCCAACTCCTAACCAACACGCCACTAAGCCGGCCCAAAAAGTTATTTATTTAAGCTTCGGTTTTAACAGTGATCTTAAAAAAACAACTATTGGTAGAAAGAGAAATAAGACATTTCTGTTTTGTGCATATTAAAGTGTCTTAGTAGAATGATTTTGAGACTTTTTAAAGCAGATAAACTGCTTCCCTTACAAAATTGTGGATGGAATACTGATGTATAAAATAGTTAAAATTATGTTTTTGAATTTAAATTCATTGTTTGGTAGAAAGTGCTTTATTATTTATGAGATCCTTGAACTACCTCCAAAGAACACACATTTGTAAACCTTTGTTGAACCGTTGACTTTTTCTAAAGATGTATTTTCTAGTTTACAGTTAACATGAACCAATTCTAATTATTTGAATTACACCTGATTTTACTCATATTTTTCATTTTTTGTCGTAGAGTCTGAGATAATTCAAATAATGATGTAATAGGACTAACGTAATGAGGTTTAAAAATTACATTTGCAGACTTTTTTTTGCCTAAAGCCTACATTATTATAGTTCAGAAGTAATATATTCACATTGTTAAAATTGCATTTTCTAAAATAGGAATTAGCCTATTACATCAGTTGGGATGAAAGTCAAAACCTTGTACTCAGGCCATTAGCACAAGACCTCCTCTGTGTGCAGGTCAGAGACTCTGGCTTCCTGTGCTGTCTCTGGGAGCCGGGCAGTTTGCACAGCTCCACTGTGCTGGCTTTCTCTCCCTGCAGTTTTCTCACCTTTGCCTGATGGTAGATCCTTACAATACCATGTTTCCCTGAAAATAAGGCTGGGTCTTATATTAATTTTTGCTCCAAAAGACATATTTTATTCATTTATTCATGTACAAAAATCTACATTTATTCAAATACAGTCATGTCTGACTGACAATCTTAACTGGGGCTTATGTGTGGGGTAGGGCTTATATTACAAGCACCCTGAAAATCTGCTAGGTCTTATTTTCTGGTCAGGTCTTATTTTTGGGGAAACACAGTAGGCGGGGTTGAACCTCATGATAGGGAGATAACTGCAAATGAATCTTAGCTTGAACTCTCCTGGTCCCAGTCTCTCTAACCCACCCCACCCAGTTTTCCTGCGGTTGAGTCAGAACCTGACTTGCTGTTCTCAGCTCTGAGCATCATCCATGGTACTCCAGGCACTGTGGGTAGGAGGAAGCCTGGGGACAAAATCAGGCTGGGGTGGACTTCTACCCTCACCGGAGGCTGGAAACGGGACAAGCTGAAGTTCTGGGTAGGAGATGCTGTGACTTAGGGGACACGAGCCTGGGGACTCAGGAGGAAAACTAGAAAAGGAGGAGGAGAGGCGTGTGCTTTATTTTCTCAACTCCAAGATGCCATCATTTATAAATTGTACCAGTTTTAAATGTGCCATTAAGAAACCCTTCCTGTTGAACATTCCCATGTGTAAACTCACACAAAGAAGGTAGGAAACTCCTGCAATCAACAAGAGTTGATCTTGGTGCTAGTGGTAACTAGCCTCAGGAGGTATCTAGAAAAGGTATCACATGAAGCCAAGAGTACTAAGTATTAGTACTTAGAGTCAGGGAAATGCCTGCTTTTCCAGTTGTGAGAATGTCTCTAGTTCTATGGATCGCTGATGCAAAGGTGCACCGTTCCCATTTTAACACATTTGAAATAGGAATACATCTAAAAATTGATGGCATGGTCATTTAATTGGCAGTATTCTTTCACAATGGTGCATTTTACAGTCAATGGCATCTTAGGTTGACAAAATAGGCATGATAAAAACCAATGGGAGTTGAGCATTATAGACAGTTTGCAGGACTTTCTGTTTGTAGGTACTTATATTTTGAAGACTTGATTATTAACAGAATGATCGACGACAGATAATTTACAGATCATCCTTGTCAGTCTGAATAATCTGCATTTTGGACATTGATTCAGGTTTTCAGGTGGATAAGCTTTGATAAGCTAAGTAAGTTTTGACAGCTGTTTAAATATTGGGAAGAGAGAGATTCAACATTTTTATTAAACCCTGAGAGGTTTAATTTAGTTAACTTGAAGCTCATTTTTGGGTTCTGTTTTCTAGTTTGGCATGTTACTCTAATGACGTATTTTTGAAATTATGATGTCTTGTTAAAGTTTATAGTAAATCAACTAGTATGTGGTATTTTCTTCTCTACCTAGTTACAAATTAAACTTTTCCTAAATGGAAATTTTAATTTGTTGAACCTCTCTGCTTCCTGAGATAACGGAGAAATAGTCCAAATTATTAACATGTTGGACATTTTTAAGTGCTTATCTCACATCTTAGGCTTGTGACTTTGTTTCACAAATCACCTATGTCCCCCTAACAAACACAGTTCATTTGGGCACTTGATACCAAAGAAAATTCTAACAGGTCTGGCTTTTTCCTTTGATTCTACAAAGTAGTTATCGAGAGGTCTTTAAGCCGACACATCTCTGCAGCTTACAGAGCAATTTTTGTTCAATAGTCTTGTGTTAGAGCCTTTTTTGCCTGATGGCTTCTAACTGTGAGTGATCCTGTTCTGAGGAGAGTTGAACGTTACATACGTCTCAGAGTGAGTGCTCCATTTCTGATTAAGGCATACATCTGGAGATGCTCAAGGAAAATGAGTGCAGTTAGCCTTGAAAGCTGCGTGTGATTCACTCACTCCAGACCATCTTTCCTATAACTAGGCACATGGCATTAAATTTGTTTGTCTTCTCTTCCTTTCTCTCGCACAGAGTGTCTCCCGTCTTCATGTTACACTTTGTAGAAGGCTTGCCACGTAACGACTTGCAGCCCTACTCATTTCCTTTTGAAGGTTGTCTTTACCAAATAACTTCTGTGATTCAGTACCAAGCAAATAATCATTTTATAACGTGGATTTTAGATGCTGATGGTAAGTGTTTAAACATTTTTTCTTTTATGATCATAGGCATAGACTAAACTTGGTATTTTTTTAGACAGATTTTGCCTTGACTCTTTTTTTCTCTGCCATCTTACCCTTGCCTTTAATTCTTCTGCCCTGTCTTTGAAACTGTCGCTGTGGCTTAGAGCCACTCCTAACTTTTCATTTTTCTTCTATCAGCATATTTATGGGTATCCACATGCATATGCATGTTTCTTTATTAGACACACAGTGAAATCATATATTACTGGTGGTTTACAGCTTGCTTTTTTCTTCTTAATATCTTTGCTTTTAATTTTTGTTTTTATTACATGAGTAATACGTGTTCAGTATAGAAAAATGAATGGTGGCAGTTCTGATTTTTCTAGGTATATAACTTTGTACTTCTTTTAGTTCTTTTTATTTTTTTTTTAGCTGAGCCATCCTGCCACCTGTTGGCAGCTCAGCGGCAGCTCAGCTCGGGCCGGGAATTGAACCGGTGACCCTGTTGCTCAGATAACCTTGTACTTCTTTTAAAAGAAAGTGCATGGTACTAAAGGTTTTTAATTAAGAAAAAAAAAACAATAAAATAAGTTTTGCTTAGTTGCAATTGTTAGTAATATAAAGTAAATCTCGGGCCGGCCGAGTGGCGCGATGGTTAAGAACTCGCTTGGGATGCCAGAGGGCCCCGGTTCGGATCCCACATATGAGGGCCAGTGATACTGCCCTCCACAGCTAAGATGCTGAACAACAGCTCAACCTGGAGCTGGGCTGCCGTGAATCCAGTCGACAGCGACGGCGTGGGCTGCAGCCCCTGTGGCAGTGGGTTGCCATGAGCTACCGTATGTAGCCAGCAGCCAGCGTGAGCGGCCAGCAGCCGCAGTGAGCGGCCGTCCAGAAGCCGGTGACTGATCTGCCTCGCCAGGGAAGAGCGCAATGATGGTGCCAGCTTGGGCCAGTGAAGCGACATCCTCCACAACTAGATTGAAGAACAAAATGACAGCAACTTGTCTGTTCCCCTTCCCCCAATTCCCCAGCTCTGTAGCCTTCTCTCAGTGTAACCGAATATCTGAAACCCAGTCAAGCTAAAGCCTTTATTTAAATAAACTTGTCAATAGAAGTACAGCTTATGGATTTTGCTAATTTTTTCCCTTCCACTTACCTAATGTGGTTTATTATTGAATTATTTTCCTCACAGTGTTCACTTTGTCTTAGACGAGATAACCCAGTCCCCTTAAAGTGTTATTATATCAGGCTACTTTGATATCTTTTTCATTTTTCTATTTTGTTGGGACACTTTTCATATTTGATATTTTCCGCCTGGGGATGGTTTGGATGGATGACACAATGTGTTATAAAAGCACTTCGTAAACTGAAATTCACGTTATCAATATAATTATTGCTTTGAATCTTTAACGCTACTTCAGAATTTGGGAGGAAGTGGTTCTCAACATAAACATAAGCTGAAACACTAACTTGTTTTCATTTTTTACTGCATTCCAGGGAATGAAAAATTCTCTTCAGGTAGAAGTTAGATGGTTAGAAGGTTTCCAATCCTGCAGCATATAAAAATCACAGTTAGCTTATTAAAAAAAATTCCCTGGGTCTCCTCTACACCAATGGTTCGTGTCTGGGGATTGGGTCCAAATATTAATCAGATGGTTCTAATGCGCATGTGTAGTTGACAACCACTGATGTAGGCAAATAAAATTCTCAAAGTTCTGATGGGTATAGAATAAGAAGCAATGGGTTCAGATGGTTTAGTTACCTAACTAAGCTCTTTTTTTTAACCAAAAAAAGAAAATAAGAATTGAAACAAATATTGGTACTTAACAACTTTGTTTATCTTGAGAAGTCATATACATGGAAAGTAATCTGTTTTTGGATGTTGCTGGATAAATTAGGTGGTACTGTGTTCTAAGTCCCAGAAGTTAAATATACTTCTGTCTTGATTTTTGTGGGTATTTTAGGAAAGGGTAAAAACTACCTCAGTTTTTCACATTTCTGGCTGTTAGTCCATAACTTTATTATTCAAATTAAGACTTAAACACTTGGCATAGAAATATGGTGACATAAGGATATGGTTATGTTTCAAGTGTTCTCTTTTGGTGGCTATTGAATGATAATAGTAGTTAAATTGCCAGAAGGAAGTTAGCCTAGGATGGTGGTTGCTAAATGTCTCACCTCTTTCACTTTTCTACCTCATCCCCCAGGAAGTTGGCTGGAATGTGATGACTTAAAAGGCACGTGTTCTGAAAGGCGGGAGAAATTTGACGTTCCTGCATCAGAGATACATATTGTTATCTGGGAAAGAAAAATATCCCAAATGACAGATGAAGCACCTACTTGTCTTCCTCTTCAAAAGACTAATGATCAGCATGCTTTTGGGGATGAGAAACCAGTACTCCCAGCATTGTGTTCTGTGGGTCATGCTGCCTCCGCTGGAACGACCTCAGGAAGTCACCCCACAAACGTGGCAATTGCTCCTAACACACTTTCCCAGGATGAAGCTGTAGTTCATGCACACCATTTGCTTTCAGGTCCGAAAGGTTTGGTTGACAGTAACATTTTACCTTTGACATTTGAAGAAATACAGGTTAACTCGAAACGTTTCCTATTAGGAAATATACCTGTGGCAAAAACTGGAGTTGTCGGCAGAACAAACACTTTGCAATCACAGGAGTCGCTAATGGCTTCTTTAGTGTCGGCTCCATGTCAGGAGATGCTTACCCAGGACCAGTTTGTAGAGTTAAGCTTTTCGTCTCAGACTGTAACTACACACACGCCATCAGTACAGCCAAATGCAGACAACACCGCACTTACTAAACCTGCGACTGAGGCTCAGGATGCGGCTCCTCTGCGGGGAGTAAAGTCACTAGAATTTGAGGGTGCAGGTGCCCTAGGGAAGGATACTCCCTTAAAACAACTCCTTTCTCCAAAAACTGAGAAATTAAAACCGGAACAACATGTTATACCTCAGTTATCTCATTTGAAGAAAAGAGAAACTGCAGTATTTTCTCAGACTGTAACAGCAAAGTCCTTACAGAGTCCGCCTCTGAAAGAAAACCAGAAGAAACCATTTGTGGGAAGCTGGGTTAAAGGCTTACTGAGCAAGGGTGCTTCCTTTATGCCACCGTGTGTTTCAGCTCATAATAGAAACGCAGTCACTGATTTACAGCCCTCAGTGAAGGGGGCAAGTAATTTTGGTGGTTTTAAGACCAAAGGTAAACACCAGAAGGCTAACCGGGCATCCAGGAAAGTGCATAGGTGTGCGAGTCAACCCCCTGCAGCCAGTGCCCCGCTGGCCAGTCAGCCACCATCAGGGAGCGCGGCTCCTGCACACGCCAATATCCCTGCTGATCTGCCAGGTTTGAGGAAGTGTGAAGACGCCGCTTACGGAGCTCTCCTCAACCACAGCTCTCACGGAAATGGAGATGGTGTTTGTTCAGCAAACCATGGAGACTCCGTTGAGGGTCAGATTCATAAACTTCGTCTAAAACTTCTTAAAAAACTTAAGGCAAAAAAGAAGAAATTAGCTGCTCTTATGTCTTCCCCCCAAAATGGAAAACTTCCAAGTGAAAATTTAGAACCCGTGTCCCATTGTGGGTCTCCAAATGATGGTGAATCAATAGAAGACTTGTTAAAAGAACTACAGTTTCAAATCGATATTGCCGATAGTAAATCTGGAGGAACCACCATTCCTAGTGGTTCACCATACAGTGGTCAGACTCACGAAGAAATTTTGGCAGAATTATTGTCTCCTACCACTGTCGTTTCAGCAGAGCTCTCAGAGAATGGGGAGGCTGACCTTCGTTATTTGGAAGTGGGAGATAACTATAACCCAGCCCCAGTACCTGGTGAATTAAACAGTCTACCCCAGGACACACACCTGAGACAGGACCACAATCACTACAGCCCCACCAAGAAAACTCAGGGCGAAGTTCAGCCAGACCCACTAACACACAGTGCCTGCGTTAGAACATTGAACTTGGAAAGTTCTATGAAGACGGATATTTTTGATGACTTTTTTTCCACTTCAGCATTAAATTCTTTAGCAAATGACACATTAGACCTACCTTATTTTGATGAGTATCTATTTGAGAGTTGTTGAATGCTTATTACTCTTTTTAGTTTAATATTTATTGTTTTGGAAAAACGTACCATATTTTTATATAGTGTTTATACACTGGCCTTATCATGAACAAAATATAAGCTAGTGAAGGTTTAACCTTTGGTCCTGCCCGCACAGCATGTAGTCTGTTTTACAAATTAAAATGATCAGGAATCAGTTCTTGTTGACTTCATTTTGTTCTTGTTAAAAGCACTACAGTGAGGATTTCAGAACATTAAAAAGGGAAAGTAGGGGCCGGCCGAGTGGCGGGATGGTTGAGAGCTGGCTTGGGACACTAGAGGGCCCCGGTTCGGATCCCACATATGAGGGCCAGTGACGCTGCCCTCCGCAGCTAGGATGCTGGTCAACAGCTCGACCTGGAGCTGGGCTGCCGTGAGTCGCCGGCAACGGCGTAGGCTGTAGCAACTGCTGCAGTGGGTTGCCATGGACTGCCGTGTGTGGCCGGCGGCCAGCAGCCGCAGTGAGCGGCCGTCCAGAAGCCAGCGACTGATCTGCCTCGCCCAGGAAGAGCGCAACGATGGCGCCAACTTGGGCCAGTGAAGCAACGTCCTCCACAGCTAGACTGAAGAACAAAACGACAGCAACTTGTCTGTTCCCCTTCCCCCAATTCCCCAGCACTGTTCCCATCCCCCCAATTCCCCAATAAAAATCTTTAAAAAAAAAAAGGAAAGTAGTGTCTAGTTTCTGGCAGTTTTGTACAGTTTGGGTCCATTAAATTTCTGTGTTTTAAATGTTGGTTCAGGAAAAACACTAGTTTGTGCAAACTTGTGATATATGAGTGTGACTGTCACGAAGTCTTACGGTTTCTGTAAGAGCCTAAGCCTGTTTCTTACACTGGTAGAGTGCTGTGGAATGTACACTTCCCATATACTTGTTCTCACCTTACAAAGGGTGGCAGGAAACCTTGTTACTAGAACTTTAAGTAATGGTAAGTGATCAATAAATGATCTATAACAGGAAAAAGTTACCTATTTTTGTGTTGATGTGCAAAGACTTGACGTTACCTTAAATACCTTTCTCTTCAAGACATTTATTTCTTTAACCAAAGTGGGGCACCATCCAACAGTTTTGGGGGAAAATAATAACCAGTGTTTATAAGGCTTGCTGTGTGCTGGGTTCTGTTATATATGAAATATTAATTCATTTAAACCTCAACATTCCTATAAGTAAAATACTTTTGCCACATTTAACAGATGAGGAAACAGCACAGAGCTAGTAAGTGTTAGAGCTGGGATTGAGGGGCGTTGCTCCTACAGCAGTTAGAAGGGCTGAACTTGGCAATGTGTGTTCCACCTCCCAGGCTTCATATAAAGTTGGGGTGCCTAAATAGCACCCCCTTACAGTGACGAGTAGTAGCAATAGTTACTGCCATTTGAGGGTGGCAGTCTCGGGGTAGAACACTTCGTTAGGGACGCAGCACTTCATACTTCTGCAATTGACTCCCACCCCACCCCCCTTCTTTTCTATTGGGTTGTCGGAAAAGTCATGATGTGTTTTTTCTGTTTTTCGTCACAACCCAATAATTACAAAGGTAATACATGTTTATTATAATGAAAATACAGAAACACCAAGAAGGCTTTGGATCCTCCCATCTTCACACTAAGTGGTAATAACTACTGCAAACATTTTCATATTTTTATGCACATGGACTGTAAGAAAGAAAAGAGGGTTTGTTGTACCTGTTTCTGTGATGTTTTTACTTAATCTTTAGTAAGCATTTTCCCATCTTACAGTTTTAGACAACTTTTGGGTAGCCACATACTATCACATTGCATGGGTTAACATTGTCTCACCCATCTTTTCAGATGTTGAGGGGATCTGTAATGGTTTGTTGATTGCACAGCCATGATTATCCTTGTGATAAATTTTTGCACCAACCCAGGTCTTATTTTCTGGGAGTGGAATTGCTGGGTGAAAGCATATGCACTTTTTTTTTTAAGATTTTATATTGGGGAATTGAGGTAGGAGAACAGTGTTGGGGAAGGGGACCAGCCAAGTTGGTATTCTTCAGTCTTAGTTGTGGAAGGCGCCAGTCGCCATCTGACTTACCATCGGCAGCTTGTGGCCTCTAAGCTCAAGGTGCTGTGTTCAGTCTTAGTTGCGGGTGGACGTAGCCACCATCTCATGTGGGAGTCGAACCGGCAGCCTTAAGAGCTCACGCTCTATCCACTGAGCCATCTGGGCAGCAGCTCAGCTCAAGGTGCCAAGTTCAGTCTTAGTTGTGGGTGGGGTAGCCCACCGAACAGGCAGTCTTGTTGTTAACACCAGCTGAGCCATCCTGCCACCTGTTGGCAGCTCAGCGACAGCTCAGCTTGGGTGCAGCATCATTGGCCCATGTGGGAATCGAACCGGTGGCCCTGTTGCTCAGAGCTTGTGCTCTTAAGCCAACTCAACCAACTAAGCCACTCGACCGGCCCCAGGATATGCACTTTTTAAAAGTTCCTTATTAATTGCATGCTTGCTTTATCTAAAACTTTAAAAAACTTAAGCTACTGAAGGTCTTAACCTTTGGGTCTGCCTGAGAGTTGTTGAATGCTTGTTCACTCTTTTTAAAAGTTTAATATGTGTTGTCATCTTGGGAAAATGTACTATGTTTATGCACTTGGCCTTATGAAGAACCCTCACTAGCACTAGGTAGTAGCATTGAGGGGGAGAACCCTTGCTGCTATTTTTACATTATCATGATTACTAGTGAGGTTAAGTATTTTCTGTAACCATTGTCCAGTTGATCTTCTCTGAAGAATTGCTTATCCATTCTTTGTTACTTATTCATTCAAGTAGCTCTAGGTTTCTGCTAAGAGCCAGAGCACTGTTGTAAACCCCAGAGATAAGGCAGTTTTTTTAAAAAAAAAAGGAGTTTTTGCACTTTGGGAGTTTGCCTTCTGAACAAGCAGAACTTTTATAATCTGGGAATAGGAGACAGATACATACTTGATTCCTGTTATTTGTGGACGTTCTGTAAAGTCACCATGAACGCCAAATTAGTAAATCCTGAACCATTGCTCCTTGGGTGAATGTTAGGTTCCTACAAGCCTCTGGTCACAATATTCTTGTCAGCTGATCAACAAATCACCTTGTTATTTGTGTGTTTCTGTTTAGAGACACCTTATGTAATACAGTAGTCCCTCCTTTTCTGCAGGAGATACATTCCAAGACCCCTAGTAGCTGTGGATAGTACCGCATCCTATGGACACATTTTTCCTGTACATACCGCCTGTGGTGAAGTTTGCCCTTCTCTGTGGCACGTCCAAATTGCCAGCATCACTCCTGTGCTTTGGGGCCATTATTAAGTAAAAATGGGCATTGTTGTTTCACAGAGTGAGCAAAGGAAGGGGAGTCAGAACCTGAAATGAAAGAGGTGGGCAGAAGCCCGAGCTTGTGTGGCTTTATGGGCCGTGTGAGGACTGGTGGACGCTTGAGAGGAATGGGAAGCCACTGGAAGGTTTCAGGCAAGGGAGTAATGTGATCCAGTCTGAGTTGTGAAAGGATCACTGAAGTGTGGAGGGTGACTGCAGTTCAGAGTAGAAGTCTTGGTCTGTTGCAGTCTCCTTAGAGTGTAGGGTGATAGCAGTGGAGGTGTGAAAAAGTAGCTGGATGACTTGCATTTCAAAGGTAGAGCCCACAGGATGTGCTGATGGGCTGGATGTGGGGTGGAAAGAGGAGTCAAAGATGAATCGGGTTTTGTTGCCTGACCATGTGGGTTGTGCGATTTACTGAGATGGGACAGACTTGGGAAGGAAGAAATGTAAAGGAAAGAATTTATTAATTCCGATGTGGATATGTTAAGTGTCAGATTCCTGTTAGACTTCCAAGTGGAGATAATTTAGTAGAAAGATGGATCTCCAACCGGAGCCCAGGAGAGACACTCATTTAGGAATTATGAATGCATGGGTCATATTTAATGCCCTGACATAGGATGGGGTCATTTAGGGAGTTAAAACAGCTCTGAGGACCCAAAGGGGCAGTAGGAGGAGAACCAGATGAGTGGGGCATCCTGCAAATCAAGGGAAGAAAGTTTTGTTCGATTTTTTTTTAAGAAGGAGGCACTGATGCTGTCCTGTCAGATCTGATGCTGATCTGTCAGATACTGCTGACAGAATAATGTGAGAACTGAGAATAAGGGAAGTCCTTGGTGGCTTAGCAAGGACAGTCCAGGGGAGCTGTGAAAACGAGTGGGCTCAAGAGAAGGGAGGGTGATGAGTGCAGGGAAGACTCATTCTTTTGAAACATTTATCTGGTGCCCAGTGAGGGAATGTGAGGTCAAGGATTTTGTTAGTGTTTTTGTTTGTTTGTTTGTTTGTTTGTTTGTTTTTTATAAAGATTTCATTTTTTTAATCGGGGAGTTGGGGGAGGGGAACAGCGTTGGGGAATTGGGAAAGGGGAACAGACAAGTTGCTGTCCTTTTGTTCTTCAATCTAGTTGTGAAGGATGTCGTTTCACTGGCCCATGTTGGTGATATCATTGCACTCTTCCAGGGTGAGGCAATCACTCGCTGGCCATTGGACGGCAGCTCATGCCAGCTGCTGGCCACTCGCGCCCGCTGCCAGCCAGCCCCACTGCAGCCTACACTGTTGCACGCCGTTGACTCACGGCAGCCCAGCTCCAGGTCAAGCTGTTGTTCACCCTCTTAGCTGTAGAGGGTGCAGCGTCACTGGCCCTCATGTGGGACCTGAACCGGGGCCCTGCTGCTCAGAGCTGGCACTCCCAAGCCAACTCCTAACCAACACACCACTCGGCCGGCCCTTGTTAGTGTTTTTAAGATGGGAGATGTAACGTTAGGTAGAAAGAAAATGTAGAGGAAGGAGGAGGAGTGGGAAGGGGTCCATAGGGCCTACAGTAAAAGTTCATAACTACCTTTGACTAACTGCCTCCAGCCACGTATCTGTTTTTACAACAGATGACCAGAGGTGGTCTGGAGCAAGATAAGGATCTGAGTCAACAGACTTCCACCCATCTTAGGAGGTCGCGCCCCTCCCGTGGGAGAGCAGGCAACACTTTTCCCACCAAATCAATATATATTCTCTTACCCCACCCAGCAAACTATAAGTCCTCAGGACAAGGTCTCTCTCTCTCTCTCCCTCTCTTTCTCTCTCTCTTTCTCTCTTTCTCTCCTGCCTCTCACGCACACCTCAGCTAGGCCCGTTTTCTTCCCTGAG